GGAACTTGCAGGGGGTGGTGTTCCCATGTATCTGCTGCCCTTGTCCTTCTAGATGGAAGTGGTCGTAGGTTTGGAAGGTGCTGCCTGAGGATCTTTGGTGAATTTCTGCAGCGCATTTTGTAAATGGTACACACTGCTGTGACTGAGCGTCGGTGGGTGGAGGGAGTGGGACGTTTGTGGATGTGGTGCCAATCAAGGGGGGCGCTGCTTTGTCCTGGATGGTGTTGAGTATCTTGAGCGTTGTTGGAGCTGCCCCCATCCAGGGGCAAGTGGGGAGTGTTCCCTCACACTCCTGGCTTGTGCCTTGTGAACAAACCACACACCAGGAACTCCGAGTGTGACAGAAAACCCCACCGACATTCCCCAGCGCGGTACTAAGACAGCACCGCACGGTCAGAAGATCCGAAGCAGATGCGGAAGCCGAGACCCAGTGCCCCCCACCCCCACCTTGGAAGGAGGGACAGTGAGTGAGTGAGCTCTCGCTGGGCCGATCCCTCATTTTTCCATAATAAACACGGATGAACTGGCCATTGACGACACCCTCCTCTATCGAAGAGCTTCCTATGTGCCAATTGGCTGCTGTGATGGAGGGGCGGGAGCTTCAAAGAGTGTCTTCATTGGCCGCAACAGGCTGTGGCCCCGAGAGGTGCTACGGAAGTGCAGGCCTTTTGCTTCACGTCCTGGAGAGCCATATCCTCTGACACCGCCCGGCCTCAAAGGCAATCCCGTTCCGTTTCCCATGGCGATGGGGAAAACAGCCTACCCCTCTAGCCCACTGTCCTGCCATTGAGAGGTGGGAAGGCACCTGGGGGATGCCTGTACATTGAAGGTGCTATCTGAATGAAGTTTGATGAAGTGTTTTGGTTTGTGGGGGACGGGGTGGGGGTGGGCAGCGGTTTCGCTCTGTTGCTAGGCGGGAACTGTCGCCAATGGCGCGGTACTCACTGAAGTCGCTGTGTCGGCGCTGCCGGTGATAGGTAGACGAACTGCGTTGGCTCCTGCTGTGCGTCGAGGTCTGGCTCACGGTGCTGGTGTTCAGCTCATTGCTAGGCCGCACCTTGGCCAACGAGAGGCTGCTGCCTGAACGGGAGTCACTGCCATCCATCTGGAAGAGGTGGGGGGAGCGGGGGAGAAAAAGAGGCGGAATGACAATCGAGGCCCAGCCCAAGGCTCCCATGAGCGGGTGGCCATCTTGGATCGCTCTCCCACAAATAGCAATGGGGTCGGGGGGGGGGGTGAATTCGCCTCAGAACGCCTCCCCAAGGGGCAACCTCTGGCAATAAGTTCCAAAAACGACCCCTCGAGGGCCACCATTAACTCAAAAAGAGGAATGGCCTCATGGCTGCTTAGGGACGGGAACTAAGGAAGGCCAGAGGTCACGGGTTCAAAGTGCACCCCGCGGTTACGTTGATAAATTGGGAGCCCAGAAGATCGGGCCGTTTGACGGCTCGCAAGAGGGAAGCTTCCGGATTGTTGGGGGGAAAAACCCAATTTGTTCACCAGGGAGAGGGTCTGTTGTTATTTATTTTGTAACTGGTCTGGCCAACCAATGACTCCAGACTCACGGAGTTCCGCCATTGGATCCTAAAGGAGGGAAATCTTGATGGGTGTCCCAGCAGCGACCAGACGTAACCTTTGGATGAGACAAGAGCCAACCAGGTCAACCTTCTTTCCCTCAAGCAATTTGTTGACGGTGTCACTAGCTAGGCCAACATCTGTTGCCCATTCCTAGTTGCCCTGGAGGAGGGGGTGGGATGGGCAATAAGTGTTTTCCGCCTTCTACATTGTCGCAAAGCTTTGAGCTCAAAAGGTGCTTGCAGCCGAGATGTGTACATGACAATCCTATAGCTTTTAACAAGTTATTTTATCCCGTTTTGTTTTGAAGTGAGCAGAGGTGCTGAGCTGTTCGTCTGAGGTAACTTAAACATCTTGGGAGGCCTTGGGTTTTTGTTTAACAGCCTGAATGGGTGTGGTCAGCTCTCACAGATCAGGATCTCTGGGATAACAAAGTGTCCTCCAGCTCCAGACTTTGTTAGCCCTGACTCTAGCATCTGCAGTTCTTGCTATTTCTCAGGATTTCAGGAGCATCTGAACAGAGTTGGAGCGTCAGTGAATGTCTCCTCACTGCTTCTCTCCCTGAATTCTCTCGATGCTTTTTCCTCCTGGATTGGAGAACTGCATTTGAGGATCTGTGTCTGAATTTTCCTTTTTGCCAAGTGGTGTGTTTATGGAGTGTTACAACATTGGAACAGTTAATTAGCAATAGGTACCATATCTATTATTCGGTAAAGTTTTCCAATGGAGTTGTTATTCTAAGTTCCACTTTCTACGGTGTTTAGATAACTTGTGTTTTGCTTAACATTGAGTTAATCAAACAGACATTTTACGTTTGCCTTTAAAGTAGGAAAATATTAGGGTCTAGACTACCTTCTTAAAATATTTTGGGGGGACGCGGTCTGGTCCGGTCCATGACACGTATGGCCCTGACCATGGATTCGCTGACCGTTTATCTCCACCTCACTCTTCACACTGTCTCGATTTACTGTTTCCGTGCTCGTGTCCTGGCCCCAAATTAACGCTTGTCTAGGCTGGAATCAAATGCCCAAGGGCATGAGAAGATCACAAACCCCTCCACCCCCACCCCCACCCCCACCTCCCCACGGCAGCGTTAAGCAACCTTCCGAACGTTTAGTCCTTACCTCGCTTTTGTTCCTGCCCAACAGGAGGTACGTGCCAGTAACGTCGTTGTACATGTGCCTGGTCAGAGCCTCTTTAATCTCTTCCCTCGTGTATCCCATTCCGATCATCACTTCTACAGGAATAAACGGGAAGAGTTAGAGAGGCACGGCACGTCCCTGGGACTCCAGGGACCCCCCCACCCCGGTTGTTAACTTCACCTGAGCACAGTCCAGGAGATTTCATCAATAACCTGCATCCCCATCTCACCTCCACCCCAACCCCCAACTCTCTTGTCGTTAATCCATGTGCTCCTACCCTCCGCCAACCAATGAAAACAGAAGAGATCCAGTTTTAGGCTTCGGGCCTAT